CAGTGGCTCTCCTCAGCCACCCCCTTCACCACCATCCCAGCAGTCCAAGGTAGGAGACCTTCTAAACACTTGTTAGTTTGATGCTTGGATAATTAAGTAAGAAAGTACAACATGGAGCAGTTTTTCATTAAAAGATAGAAAATTTTTGTTTTCTGTTGATTATAATATTATCAGAATGTTAAATGCAGTCAAAGATTGTGTTTTTCTACCTTTCATGATAAAAGCAATGTGAATTATCTACAATATTAGCTTTTATAGTTTAATTTTATATTAGACTATATACGTGAATATTGTCTGCTTGTGACTGGGTTCCTTTTAAAGACCATCTTAAGGCATTAACTCTGTAGGATCTAATTCCTATTTATTAAGTCACTAGATAGATTATAAGGTGGTAAGGATAGATTGTGAGGCCTTTATGATGATGATCTGCCTCAGGACAAATTCCAGCCAATATACTCTGGAATTCTTGGCCTTTTCTTTGGCAGTTCATGCCCTTCTTTTTTAGGGTTGTGGTTTTTGGCTAGTTCCCCCCTCCCCGCCCCCCCGAAATGTTTAAAGAAGGTCAAGTTCTATTAGTGTATATGTTTCATGTACCCTCCCAATCAGGTGAAAGAAGTTGATGGATCTCCATTAAAACAGTTTTTCCCCCCTTTTTGTTTTCCCATTCCAAGGACTCTTCATATCCCTATAATCAGTCAGATCAAGAAGTGAACCGGCACAACTTTCCTTGCAGTGTCCATCAATATGAGTCTCCAGGGACAATGAACAATGATAATTCAGACTTGGATTCTCAAGTCCAATATAGTGCTAAGCCTCAACTGTATGATAATACCACCAATGAAAATGCCAGCAATCAAGATCACAGTAATAATAATCCTGAGGAGTGTTTATCTTCAGATGAAGGTACTCCTCCAAGTATTAAAAAAATCATCAATGTGCTGGAGAAGGTCCAGTATCTTGAGCAAGAAGTAGAAGAGTTTGTGGGCAAAAAGACAGACAAAGCATACTGGCTTCTGGAAGAAATGCTGACGAAGGAACTTTTGGAACTTGATTCAGTTGAAACTGGGGGCCAGGCCTCTGTCCTTCAGGCCAGGAAAGAGGCTGTTTGTAAGATCCAAGCCATACTAGAAAAACTGGGGGGAAAAAGGACTATGAAAGAATTTAGAACAAAGTGAAAGCCTGTTACTAACTTAACCAAAGAACTCTTGATTTTGGTTAATTACCCTCTTTTTGAGATGGCTGGTGATGACTGGAATACATTCCAACATTCCCTTGCTTTCAAATTTCAAAACCTGGCAAAAGATTTGGCAGAACTTTGTAGTAATGAATTGTTTTAGACAAATGAATGTAATAGGAAACTATGGAGTTATGAGTATTGCCAAGTAGGTAACTCCTGTCCTAAGAAATTTTTGGATATTTACAAGTTGCTTCTTCGCAGCAGGAGGGAAATACTCTTTATGTAACAGGCTTATCCATAACCGACAGATGAGACTGGATATAATCTGAAACAAACAGGTTCTGTTTTTTTAAACAGCTGGATTATTTGTCAAATTTTTGTACATTATGATTGCTTACAAGATACACTTCATGTATAAATTACAACTTTAGCTTCTTGGACCTCTGTTTTATGTGATAATTGCAGTTCATAAATACAGCATTATTCTCTACTTGGTATATTTTGTAGTAATATGTTTAATATAATTATCTAAAGAGACCTTATTGACAGTCAGACAATATGGCAATTCTGAATGAACTTTTATCTGTTCACTATTTGAGTATATTGTAATGTGTAGTTCCTGAGGCAAACTGTTTGTCTCCCTTTTTTTGTACAGATCATCATTAGTTTAGAGATTTTACCACTTCTGTTTTTCTTGGTAGTAGTGGAAGGTGAATTTGGAAGTGACATTGCTGTTGGAATGAAGATATTTGTGGACCGTTTTCTCTCTTGCTTTTTTTTTTAAATCTTATTTTGGATAAAGATAACATTTTTTAATTATCTTTTTTTAAACAAAATAATTTCCTTTTCCCTACTACTACTTTTGTAGAGAGAACATTGGGAAAGATGAAAACAATGCTATAGTGAATAGAAATAATAATAAAAAATATATTATTTGGTAATACCATTCTCCATCTAAAATATTTGTCACACTTTTAAGATCCCTATGAGCAGATTTCAACTCAGTTTATTGTAGGAAACAGTGAAGGTGGAGGGGAGATTCATGCTCAGGGATTGAATCAGCCATATCTAGAGTAAAAAAATCAATTATTTTCTTCTCTTAAGGGTATATTTGATGATTATCTTTATTTCCCTATTGTAAATTACATACAGAAGACTGCCTGTTTTATAAAAAAAGATATTTATTACTACTAATAACAGCCCTTCTAGAGTCAAATTTATGGAAGAAATATTAAAAGGGCCTTATGTGGGTTTAACTAATACTAATGCTGTTACCTAGAAAGGCCTTATGTAAATAACTTACTTTTTGCATCTGAAATAGTATACAGTATCTGTTATTGGAAAACCCCCAGCTATTTCTTAGTAAGATTTTTAAGTGACAGTTTATTTTCTGGATTGCCAAGCCTGCAGGTAATAAGTGTATCTCCTCCCCCTATAAATCAAGCCAAATTAATATAAGCACATTATGTAATAAGAAATTTAGTCAAAATACTACTTAGGTCTTGTAGTTGGGATAAATTATTTTAGGGTATTACATAGTAATAATTTTATTCTAGGATTTATTTTTTATTTTTTATTTTTTAGGATTTTTATTTTTGGCCTAATACAGAAATGTCAAAGGAAGGCTCTTCTGTGAAAATTAGTTCTACTTGAAGCTAAAGATTTAAAGGGACAGGACATTCAAGTTAATATGATTCATAAGCCACTGAAATAATGACTAATTTAGGATACAACACTGGTGGTTAACAAGTACCCAAGATGTTATTTTTCATGAAGTTTTGATTTACACACACATACACATATATTCACTAATAAAACTCACTGCTATAGAAAAATAAGAAGTCAAAGTTGACCCTCCATTGGTTTTCCAAGGCTATAAATCCCATGGGAAGAAATTTTCCATCTTTTTCTCACAAAGCTGCTGGTGGGTTTGAACCTGATGGGTTCTAACCTCCAGAAAGGCATAAGCTTTGGGTTAGCAGAACAACTTCCTCCAGACCATGCCACTAGAGCCCCCTAACTTGTTTAACAAGTACCCAAGATGCCATATGTCATTATCCACTAAGTCTTTATTTAGACATCTAGTGGTTAGGGAGTTGTGCTGCTAACCCAAAAATGACACATCTCTGGCAGCTTAAATCCACAGTGCTCTATGGGAGAATGATGGGGAGCAGTGTTCTCCCATGTAATTTATAGTTTCTGTAAACTTACTGGAAGATCAACTATGAGTCAATCTTAAATCAACAACAATGAGTTTATATAAGGCTATGAGTTGATTCTGACTCAACATGATATATCTGCTATCAAAGTTAGTTCCAACTCACAGTGACCCTCCATCAGCTTCCAAGACTGTAAATCTTTATAGGAAGAAACTACTCATCTTTCTCTCTTTGAATAGCTAGTGGATTCAAATTACTGAACTTTGGGTTTGTAGTCACTGTGTCACTTGGGCTCACTCACGCTCTCTCTTCACACAATGCAGTTTTACCATTATGTGTGTGCTTGGTTTTTAACTTAACAGTTACTTTTAAACATTTTGGTATAATTTTAGACTTACAGAAGAGTGATTCCCATATTCCCTTCAACCTAATTCCCCTTAGTGTTAACATCTTATGTAATCATAGTATATTTGTCATATTAAAAAGTTAACCTTAATAAAATACCATTAACTAAAGTATAGAATTTTAAAAGTAGAGATTTTATTATTTTCACTAATAATCTTTTACCATTCCAGAATCCAACCCAGGGTTATACATTGCATTTATTTGTCCTATTTTTGTAGTGTTCTACCCAAGTGCATCCTCTTAGGCAGTACATTATGTCATGTGTATTTTGGTGTTACTAATTTTGATTATTAGGTTCAGGTGGTGTCTTCTAGCTTTCTCTACAATAAAATTACTATATTTCCCTTTATAATTACTAAAGCTTTGACACTATGCAAACATTTTGTTTCTGCTAAAAATTTTCCCCATTTATTTAGTACTGGTATATGTTGCTTGTGACAGTTACCACTGTGGTGTTCTAATGGTGATTTTGTATCTCCTCTTTTCTGTGTTTATTAACTGGAATTCTTCTGTAAGGAAAAGTTGGAACTTCTGGATTTATATTTTTAATTATAATGTAAATTATGCTAAAGTAGTTCAAAATAGTATTATCAAAGAAAGGAAAATAAAATTAATAACCTATCCCAGAAAATACAATAAATTTTTTAAAGAGGAATAGTATTTATTATTTATAGAATTGATTTTTACTTTATAATGACTCCAAGCTTAACTCAAAATATTCTTGAAATTTCATTTCTAAGTGTTTATATTTATAAGATTTTTGGGAATAGTTTTTGTCGAAATCTTCAATAAACTTACCTAGACTTAGCATGTTAAACACAAGTATGTTTTCTTTGTAATAAGCCAATATTGTTCTAACTATAATTGATAATATAAATATTTAAAAAAGCCCTAATGGAAAACCTGGGGAATGTGTTGCGTTTTGAAAACCATTCTCTAATGGAATACCATTCCAAGTTGGCAAGTTGGGGAAAAAAGTAGGTTAAGTTGACATCTTTATAAGTTTTCATGGGGGATGAATAGTTGATGACTGGTGCTTTTTGTTTCATCTTGACATTATTTTCCTTTTAAAAAAGTAGTGAGCTTAAACTCTTAAGTCATTCCATGTAAGTTCTGAGTTTAAAGAGCAATTTTATGAAAAAGTGCATTCTCCTGCTCTTCCATTTTTCCTTCTGAGAGGCAACCACTTTAAACTGAGTTAAAAAAACAAACATTTTAAAATAAGGCAACCATATTATATTTCATGGGTTTTTTTACTTTGGATGTTTATTGATTTACTGTTATGGAAGATGAGAATTTAGGCTTATCTTTCTTGCACAAATGCACACAGACACATTATCAGTCTTACTTTTCACTATAGATTTTTCCCAGTGCAATATGTCTCCTGAACTCCTGATTGCTAGGACCAAATGTGTTGATGTGGATCCAAGTATAAGATGAGGTTGTTGACAGTTTCAATCTTTTCTCCATCTATCATGATGTTGCCTATAGATCTAGTGGCTAGGAATTTTGTTTTCTTGATGTTGAGAAGCAACTCATATTGAAGACTGCATCCTTTGATTTTCTGCAACAAGTGCTTCAAATTCCCCTCACTTTACGCAAGCAAGGTTGTGTCACCTACATAATGAATGTTACTGATGAGTCTTCTTTCTTTCCTGATGCCACATTCTTCTTCATAGAGTCCAGCTTCTTGAATAGTCATTCCAGCAGACAGATTAAATAGGTATGGAGAAAGGATACAACCTTGACACACATCTTTCTTAATTTTTAACCATGCAGTCTTCCCTTGTTCTGTTCACACAGTGGCCTCTTGGTCTAGGTCTAGGTTTCATGCAAATAGAATTAAGTATTCTGGAATTCGCATTCTTCTCAATGTTAGCCATAATTAGGATCCACATAATCAAATGCCTTTGCATAGTCAATAAAGCACAAGTTGACATTTTTCTAGTATTATTTCCTTTCAGCCAAGATCCATCTGACATCAGCAGTGTTATTTCTCTTGCCATGGCCTCTTCTAAATTCAGCTTTAACATTTGACAGTTCTTTGTCTGTGTACTGTTCTAGCTGTTTTTTTAATGATCCTCAGCAGTATGTTGCTTGCATGTGGTATTAATGATATTGTTAGATAATTTTGACATTCTGTTGGGTCACCTTTCTTGGGGATGGGAATAAACATGGATCTCTTCCAGTCACTTGGCAGGGAGTTGTCTTCCAATTTTCCTGGCATGGGTTGGTGAGCACATCCAGCACTGTGTCTTGTCATTTGAAACTTTTCAGTTGGTATCCACTCATTCCTGAGGCCTTATTTTTTTTTTTGTTTTCCAGTTCCTTCAGTACAGTTTGAATTTCTTTCTTCATTACTATTGGCTCCTGATTCTTTGGTAGTTCGGAAATATTTTAGTGTTGTCCAATTATATTTTTTTTTACACATTGG